AAAAAAAAAAAAAAAAATACCAGGGCTGGGGATTTAGCTCAGTGGTTCCGCCACCTGCCTTGCAAGCGCAAGGATCGGAGTTTGATTGCCGGTACAGAAAAAAAAAACAAACAAAACCAAAGTCCAGTAACTACAATGGCTAGAATTTTCAAATGTTGACCATTCTGCCACTGAGCTTCACACATGACACCTTAAACTTCTTGGAAAATGTTACCCTGATATTTCCATTTTCTATGCCTGTTAAGCCCATGCTTTACTGTACTTTAGGTACTTCACAGACATTTCACAATATTTTTGTCAGTCTTTAAATTGTGTTTTGGTCCTTGAAGTGGACACCTGAGCCATTAACAGGTCAGAGCCTACAGTTTCAACAAAGTTTTCTGAAAGCCTATTGCCATTTTCAAAAAGCAAGGTCCTGAGTTCAATCCCTCATAACAAAAAAAAAAGGTAACCAATCCTCTTTTTAACTATTTTAGTACAGTGTTATCCAGAGATAACGCCTCTCATTAGATACGTAAAAAATTTTTCCCAACTTTCAAAATTTTTGCCCTCCAAAATATACTGACTCATTCCCAATAAGAGATTCTCTTTCATATCTTTTCACATTATCCAGGAGGCCCACTTCCATGGTTAAAAATCTACAATTCAAGTGCAGATCTTCTAAGTCTTGCTCATTTCCTAGTCTAGTTATCCTATCAGCAAAAGATAGTGAGAAAGAGATGCCTACTACCTATATTCATCATCTTAAATCAGTCTGTTAATGTTTGCAGTGCAGTATTTAATAGAATTAAAGACATGATGACTGGAACACAAAACTGATGTATTTCTGTAAAAAAAAAAATCCCCGATAATATGTAGAATATGTAATATGTAATGTTAGTTCACTGGTTCAGCAAATACCGAATGGCTACTGTGTGGGAGGTACTGTGTGAGGCACGTGGTAGAAATGGTCCTTGGTTCTGTGGACTGCTCACTGACCCCTATTTAGTTTGAGGTTTAAATGGTTTCATGTGTCATAGGTGAAAAGTTGTTTTTGTACAATAAATAATGCAGCTGTGAAATGTCATATCCAGTTCATTCTCAGATGGGGGGTAAATCTGAAAGAAACTAGATTAGGATCGCTGAGTATGCTGCGAATGGGAACTCTTACTCTTTCCTTTTATTCTGAATGGAGACATTAAAAAATAGTGTGAGTGGCATACTATCTATTAGCATGATATAGAAAATTTAAACTGAGTGCAGCCAGACACTCAAGAATAAACCAAATAGTATAATGTAAATTCCACATAAAACCTCAACGGTTCTAAAAAAAAAAAAACCCCAACGGTTCTTTGGCCCAGGAAAGCACCATTTTACAAAGACTGAATATTGAGGTAATTTCAGGACTGGATGCCACAAGAAAAGCAACTGAATGTGAACAATGAGCCAGGCGGAAATAACAAACTTACATGACTCCCAAATTAAGTTTTCATTCAAAGATACACCAGTTTTTTCCTCTCATCTTTGACCACCAACAACAAAATATCTGACAGGTTCTTGTTTAGCAACACATGCCTTTGTGTACTGAAAGAAAAATCTTGGCTTATTGGTCCCGTACCTCATCTACCAATGTTTCTGCTATTCTTTTTTTTTTTTTTTTGGTACTGGGGATTGAACTCAGGACCTTGGGATTTTAAGGCAGGTTGTAGAACCAGTAAGCTAAATCCCCAGCCCTGTTTCTGCTATTCTTTACAAATAGAAATGTCCTGTACTAGTAATAACTTTATAATTCCTTTCATAAATCTTAGTCCTGTTTTAGATCTCTGTGTTAATCTGAATAAGAGATGCCTATTTTTGTTTTTCTGTAGACCTTGTGAAATTTCATCTTGTCCTGGGGCAAACAATCACAAAACGTAATTATCCCTTATTTTTTGAGGGTGAGATAAAGAGAACGTGAAGAGCAAAGCTGCATGGGCAATAGGAAGTATCCTAAGATCTTATGATTATGTTCTCTGCCTTTTATATAGGCCAAGGTGGCTTTCTACTTGACACAACAGAGAACAGGCCATAAAGCCTGAAAATAAAATGTTCTAAAATTAGACCTCAGAGTATTTTCAATAATCATCTGTAAAGCATTTTAAGGAAAATTACTAACTTGGAGGCTGAGGCAGGAGGATCACAACCTCAGGCCCAGCCTTGACAACTTGGCAAGACATGGCCTCAAAAATAAAAATAAAGCCAGGTGTGGTGGCATATGCCTGTAATCCCAGCACTTGGGAGGCTAAGACAGGAGAACAGCTGCAATTTCGAAGCCAGCCTGGGCTACATAGTGAGTTCAAGCAAGATTTTGCCTCAAAAAACAACAAACAAACAAGAATACAAAGGGCTGGGGGTATAATCCCAGTACTCCAGAATAAAGGCCTGGAGAGAAAGCTCATTTGCCAAGGTCCTGTGTAGAATCCCTAGTATGGAAAAAAGAACAGGAAAAAGAAAAAAACTAATTGCCAGCCAACCCCCTCAAAACAGTTTCAAAGGCTCTGAAAGGCTCTGCTTCTTAAATCTTTAAATTACATCATATTGTAGTCACATCTTTTGCTACACTAGGTGAAGAGCTTCAGGCTGGTTAAAATACTGCAGACTGCATTTCTGTTAATATTTTTCTCTCTTCGTGCTGACATTTCCAGTGTTGGGAAGTAGGATTTGTATTACCAAGGTGTCCCTCTTTCTCCATCTTGCTCTGAAGAATGAACAAAAGCTTGAGGTGTTCGTTTCAGAAGATAAACTGCAGCATGAAGACCCCCGATATTCACCCAGACCGTATGTACCTTTCGCCATACATGTCCCATTCCAGATAATGCCTGTGTACACACAAAAAGCAAAAAACCAGGCTGACAATCTGCTTGTAAACAATCCAGGGATCTTAGTTGCCAGTTAAGAAACATGAGGAAGAGAAAACACATCCTATTCAAATGAATATCCCCAAGTCTACATAAAAAAGGTCCTGAAATTGCCACAGACAGATTTTGAGCTAATGTTCAGCACCTTGGCAAAGCACTTCTTGTCCTGGGTAAGGAGTACGGCTCGGCCTGTCCCAGGTCTACAGACACGGCTCATCTCTCTCAGGCAAGCTGGGTAAAGATTCCAATTTCTCTTTTTGGAGCCCATCCTATAAAAGAAAGTCTGATGAGTCAAGCACTGACTGTTGTAAAAGATAAACATCTAGGACTATATTAAATGAGAACAAACATTCATGCATCCCAAGGCATAAAAAAAAGCCAGAGCTTGGCATTATGTGAATAAAATAAGCTATGAGAGTAAACTGTTAAGAATTTTGTATCAAATCAGTTTTTGACAACTAAAACTTGTCTTCTTAATGAGTATAATTAAACCAAACTGCTGCTTAGAAAACAATTTATCCTGAGAATCAGTCAAGTCTTCCTAATTCTTTTTATCTGAACTATGATTGATTATGTAATTGAACAATAGGCTAGGAAGTGAATTACAGGTAATTAAAAAAGGAACCTCCTGTGATGGTTGGGATCAAAATATAGTTAAAATATTTCTGAATTCTCAGAAGAAACAAAATGGGTGAGTCTACCATGACTGTTAAAATTGTTCAGAAAAAGCCAAATGTGGCAATATATGTGCAAAATCCCAGCACCAGGAGGCTGAGGCAGGAATTTGAGGCCAGCCTGGGTTACAAAGTAAACTGTTTAGCAAAAAGAAAAAAAGGAAAAAAAAAAACAAAACAACTCTACTAAGTCTGTTAAAAGGAACTGGAGGATTTTTTTTTTAACTTACATGAAGTACAAATAATGATATTTAGAAGACAAGTACCAGAATAACAGGTAAAGTAAAACAAACTTATTTTGTTTTTTAAAAACAATGCCTACCTTTTTCCAAATGGCATATCTGTTACAATGATATCCACAGAGCCAGTTCTCAGTGGAAGATTGCAGCTATCCCACTGAATAGCATCAATGGGCAAGCCCCAGGAGGATTTGCTGCAGGGACAAAGGAAAGGTGCTTCAACATATTCTAAAATATGAAATTTTTAAAAAAGTTTTTTCAAAAGAGACTTTGCTATAGCAAAGTACAATGCTACAAATCATAGTGAGAACATCACCAACTGATCAGAATCTTAAAAGTGACATGTAAAAAGGAACTTTATATTCATGAAATAAAACTAGTGCAATGACTGAAATGGAAAAGCTACATATAAATAAATTTAAAGAACAGTTAAGATTGATTTTCAAAAGATGTTCACATGGAATGTGGTGATGCACACTTGTAATCCCAGTACTCAGGAGGATGAGGCAAGAGGACCACCAAAAGTTTAAAGCCAGCCTAGACAGCATAGGGAGACCCTGTCTCAAAAAAGATGTTGACAAAGATGTTCAAATACAGTTTAGGAAAATGAATTGAGAGAAATTATGCCTGTACCAACTGCAAGAGAACTTTACAGTGTTAAAAAATTAGCAAAGATAAGGGTACAGCCAGTATTATAGACATAAAATAGGATCACATGTGCCATGTATAAATAATCGTGAAAATTTAAAGTAAACATTTTTAAAAAAGCAAGTGATTTACAAACATAAGCCTCACAGTATTACAGAGGCAGTTCTCTCTGGATCTTCTAAGGCCAAATGTAGATCAAATGACTTCCTGTGTTATGTAATCAGGATGTGGTGCATCTGTAAAGCCAAATAAATCTGTTGACAAGTACCTACTCCTTCAGCTTTCTAAAAGAATAAAGGACAAGGGCTGGGGATTTAGCTCAGTGGCACCATGCCTGCCTTGCAAGCACAAGGTCCAGAATTCGATCCTTGGTACTGGGGTGGGGGGGGTGGGGGGAATAAAGGACAACTACCCAAGAGACCAGAGAAGTGGGCTTATGATGGAGCTTCTGATAAGAAATGATACATTAAGCCACAGTACAACCAGTTCTTCCCCAAAGACTTGAAAAGAATGGAGAGGCTGACATAGAAATTGTCCTCAAATGCCACTTATAGTGGGCTAGCCCTTAAGACACTGCAATAATACATACATCAAAAGGACAGACAATACACATATGCAGAGGCTGATGGACTTCCAAACTATGGATATCAAAGGCCTAAGATTTAGAAAGAGGGCTTTCCCCAAGAACCCACACGGCTGGCACCTTGATCTTGGGTTTCATAGCTTTATGAAGGAAGAATGAATGTTAAGCCCCTTACTCCAATGGGAGAGGATGATTTAATACCCTTACATCCTTATTTAAGGATGTAGCTCAGTGTGAAGGTACTGAGTTCAATCCTCAGTACTACAAAAATGGAAAAAAGAAAAGAAAAGAAAAAAAGTTGCAACAGGGTGAGGAAATTAGTTAAATATTTAAAAAATATAAATTATTTTCAATAAATTTAAATTTTAAATGGATTCTCTACATCTTGGCTATACGGTCACAATACACTGAGGTTATTAAGTCAAAATCAACATGAAAAGTGATTAAGTCTAAAATATGATATAAAAGATTAAAAACTTTACCTTTCTTTAATTTGGCTCTTGGTCAATAAAGATGAGATATTATTGGCTGCTCTTTTTACAGCCAGTGGACTATTATCACCAGCAATATGATAACAGTTAGACCATTCAGTAGCCCCCTAAGAGACAGGATTATATATTAAAACATAAAGTAACAAACTGCAAAAAATTGTGAAGGGGAAAGTTATTTCAATCAGTTGTCATAAATAAGACAATCAGTGTTCTTTTCAAAAGTGGCAAAACAATATATTGTCAACTTTGCTATTGGCCTTGTTGGAAATGCCTTCTCTGCTTGCTGAACTCCTACCCATCTTTAAAAACCCACCTTGACTGTCAACTTATTGGATTAAGAGATTAATGGAGAAGTACTGGACTGTGAGGGCATAGTTGAATGGGCTACTCAAAGGTGGGGCCTAGCTGGAGAAAGTGTATCAAGGGTGTGTTACCGTGGGGACTATCTGGCCCTGGTTCCTTCCTCTCTGACATCTTCCCAAACTCTTGATTCCTGCCTGCCATAAAGCAAGCAGCTTTGCTACATCATGATATTCTACTTCACTTCAGACCCACAGCAATGGAACTAGCCAACCATGGACTGAAACCATAAGCTAAATAAATCTTTAAGTTGTGAGTGTTGGGTATTTTGTTCCAGTGTCTGAAAGGTGACTTGATACACAGCTCAAATGTCATATTTCTCTCTTTTTTTTTTTTGGTACCGGAGATCGAACTCAGGACCGTCATATTCTCTTTTAACATCAAACTCAACTCTCCAAGCTGTCTTTTATCAGCTCTTTAAAAGCACTCTGTACACACCTCTGCCACTAGTTCCAATGTTAACTATGTTCATATATGCCTGCCTCCCAACTAATCTAGGAACTCCTTCAGAACAAATCTAGTATTTTATTCAGTTCCAGACTCAGCAGTATCTGACATACCGAAGGTGTAACAGTCCCTAACATGGTTTAAAAAATTAACCAAGTAAAACTGTACCCTATACCCTTTTGGATTGTGAGTTTATACAATCAGATCTACTGGAATACTTGACCGTCTCACAATAAAAAGTCATTTCCTTTGTATGATAGCCTCTTAAATGATAACTGCCACGTCCCTGAAAGGATTTTGTAGTTTTATATCAAAAACTTGTCAGGAGCAGAATATAAATACCAGGCTGTCACATTTCATTTATGAAATGAGGTGACATAGTACCCTAGGCCTGAACAATATTTTGTGCAGGTTAACAGAAGGTTTCTGACATGAAAGCAGAGAAAGGTTCTATTCTCTGCCTGGGGATAAGTAATAAACACTACTTTCTTTTCAAATGGGAATACACCTTCCATCAATGAATACAGCACTTCCTTTTTATTTTGCCCAGACACAAGGATGATGACATACTCCAGCCTATAATCCTGCAGGGACTATATAAAAGGGACTCTAGAATTTGGCTGAGCAGGGATGGAGAAGAAATTACATGTTTGATGAAAGTCTCACATGATTCTGACTTCCCAACATTCTTTCTTTTTTTTTTTTTTGGTACCGGGGATCAAACTTGGGTCCTTGCGCTTGCGAGGCAGGCGGTGACACCACTGAGCTAAATTCCTGGCCCAACATTCTTTTTTTTTTTTAAAACCATTTATTGATACATTTTAGATACACATAATGATAACATGCATCATAGGGAATTTGTACCTGTACATGATATATCTTGCTTCTTTTTTTCCCACCTCCCCCACTTTGACCCCTCTTCCCCTGTTTACAAAACCAGCGTTCTTTTTAACACCTACTTGGACTTTCTGCCTCAAAAGGATGGATTTTATAGTATCTCCATGTTTTAAAAGAAATCTATATATATATACCCTATTAATTTATTTCACAATTTTATGCATTTTGAACCATATAGCAGTTTGTTTCCCCACATTGCCATCCTCATGTCTGTTACATAGAAACAGCTCAAGTTTTTTTTTTTTTTTAAGCTATCTCTTTTATTCTGTTCTCTATCTCTGTTGTATTTCTTGACACCCAGTGGCCCTTACCTGATGTTTCACAGACATATCACAGTTTGGTGTTACAGAAGAGCACTGTTTTATCTCACAGTTGTTCTCGACTATAACTGGGTTTAATCAGTACAGGTTTCTGCAGGCAGAGTGACTTCTGTTGCTAGCAGAATATAGCAGTCACATAAACTATAGTTTTCCTCTTGCATTTTAACTTCCAGATCACAGATGTCATTTTCTAATTACAGTCTGGACTATTGTTTTCCTTGGTAAGTTGCTATGGACTTGCTCATTTGTCTAGTTTCTGCCTATGTACAGAATCTGCGGGATCTCCTTGCACCTGTTTACCACTGGCTTTTGGTATACTGTATTGAAGAACTTACTATGTTTTACCTAAATTTAAGTGATTTTACTGTGAGTTTCCTCTTCTAAATAATTTCTACATGCATAGATACTGATTCACTAAAACTTAAATGTTCTCTATTTAGAAAATATCTTCCCATTCCTTGATTTGCTTTATGCAGTTTTTCTCAATGTTACAGTAATTTTAAACACTACTGGTATGCAGCCTTGTCAACATTTAAAAAAATCTAAATAACACTCATAAGTTTCCCTTTTTTGCAGTGCTGTGGATTGAATCCAGGGCCTTGCATAAGGTAGGCAAGTGTTCTACCACTGACTATACCTATCTTTTTCAAGATACTCACTCCCTCTAGGACCCTAAATACACTAAAAACTATATTCTCATTATACAGAAATAAAAAACCACCTTTCTCCACTTTATGCTTCTCCCTTCAATTAGCCTTTCCTATTCAGTTTACTATCTTACCTGATACAGAAAAGGCTCACCAGTTTGTAATCCTCAGCCTCCTCTTAATCCCATGAAAAGACAATCACTTATCTAGTCCTACCACAATTGGCCATTTGAAATAGGTGGTTACATTCTTTGCACCAAAGTGCTAACTTTACTATTGTAATTCTTTTAAAACTCTTGGTCAGCTGACTTAACCTGGATGGTTTCCTTATGTCTAATTTGCCCATTAGGTCTAGATCAGTGTGAGTATATTACTTGCTTATCTAAAAACTAATGGAAGCTGGGCATGGTGGTGCATGCTTGTAATCCCAGCACCTGATTGCATGATTGCCTCCAGTTTGAGGCTAGCTTGGGCTACACAGTGAGTTCAAGGCCAGCCTGAACTCCATAGTGAGCCCTTATCTCAAAAAAAAAAAAAAAAAAAGAAACTAATGGAAAGGTATTACCTCTATTGGTATTGCCCCTGTTCCACACATTGGATCAATTATTATATCAGTAGGTTGAGGTGCACAGAGCCTGGAGAAGAAAACAAAAAAGAACAGTCGATATATATGTCAAACCGAAGCTAAGCTTCCACAATGATGATTCTTAAAAAGGAACACCTGTCTACAGTCATTTTAAAAATGAATCTGTTAGGCCGGGGATTTAGCCCAGTGGTTCCGTCACCTGCCTTGCAAGTGCAAGGACCCGAGTTTGATCCCTGGTACCAAAAAAAAAAAAGAATTTGTAAGTTAAATTAAAAATAAAATAAAAATGAATTTGTAATTACATGTTGGCTGTATGACCAGGACTTAAAAATATATATATAGATATAACCACAGTTCCCTTTGACTATCACTTGAAATCTCATTTTAGTTCCAGATCTTTGAAAATACGTATATGTGTGTGTGGACATACTAGCATCCATGCATGTGCATACACACACACACACACACACACACACACACACACACTATATAAACCTATATGATAGCATTAAAAAACTGAAACATGTCTCAAGTAAAACATGTGCCAAAATAAGTTTACTGGCAATTAGACATTCAGTGTTCCTTTATTTTTTAAAAATATATTTATCACTTGTCTTTGCTTTTTTGGGGGGGTACTGGGGATCGAACTCAGGACCTCATGCTTGCCATGCAGGCACTGTGCCACTGAGCTACATCCCTGGCCCAGTGTTCCTTTATTTTTAAATTTTTATTTATTTGTTTTTGAAACAGGGCTCAGGCTGGCCTCGTTGCAGTGATCCTCCTGCCTCAGCCTCCCAAGTGCTGAGAGTGGTGAGATTACAGGCATACAACACCATACCTGGCTTGTTTTAATTTTTTTTTTTTTTTTTTTTTTGAGACAGGGTCTCACTTTGTCATTCAGGCTGGCCCTGAACTCACTAGTGTAGCCCAGACTGGCCTTGAACTCATGGCAATCCTCCTGCCTCAGCCTCCTGAGTGCTGGGATCTGGCTTATTTAATTTTAAAGATGACCTCAATATAAAATAATTCTTTATTTGAGCATTTAAGTTTTTGACAGGCATGAATTTAGGCTCCTTCATGCATCATTCATTAAATACTCTAATAATTCTCTTAAGTTGGTTACCACTATTATTATTTTACAGATAAAGTAAAACATTAACTTTCCAGGGACACAAAACTCAAGTAGGGGACAGTCAGGGTTAGAGTTGATGGCTTAAGTGTCACTTCTTCAATGAAGCATCCCATCCTGAGGTCACTAGGTTTCTCTTTCCTTCTCTTAATCTCTTCAAGCTCTGTTACAGTACTTGCTCTGTACAATACTTATAACACGCATGGTAATTATCTCCCTCACAAGACAGATTCTTGGATGTAGCTCAATTTCCTTGTTCCTACCCCTCAACATATGACAACACACTCCTCAGCAACTATCTGGTGGTAGTAAGCAACCCTATATTCCCAGCCATGGCTGATAGGGCAGAGGTGGACACTTTATCAAAACTATGGCACACAAATCCTATCTTTGGGAAATTTGGAATAAAGAGCTAAAAGTCCTAAGGAGTACAAGCTGATTCTTTGAAACTGGAAATATATAAATTCAGTTGAGAGAGAGCCATGTACACAGATGAACAAAGGTAAGAGCTCACATGCTCTCAGGAAAGATAAAGAGTAGCTGCCGAGGTTTCTGGTTGTTTTCTAAGACCTAGTTTCTGCCCTTTTTGAAACATAGCTTTGTTTTTTGGGGGACTCTGCAAGACTTCTCATCTACTGCCCAACCTGCCCAAGCACAATCATCACTTTTTTTGTTGTTTTTTTTTCGGTACTGGGGATTGAACTTGGGACTTTGTGCTTGTGAGGCAGGGAGCAGAACCACTAAGCTAAATCTCTGGCCCAATCATCACTTTTTTATATTAAACTAGTTACATGACCAATATTTGCTCCCAAAATAAATCTCTCTGTATTCCTGGCTCCTATAATAACTCCTGATGGTAGATAATAAGTGTCTGAATAAACAGGTGGAGCTCGTAAACTGCATGTGGTGGTGCATGCCTATAATCTCAGCACTCGAGAGGCTGAAACAGGAGGACCACTGTGAATTCAAGGCCAGCACAAACTACAACACAAGACTGTCTCAACAACCACAACAAAAACAAATGATTATACTCCATTAAAATAAAAAAAAATTAGTTTAAAATGAAGAAAACTGGGCAACTGGTTACATATTTTCAGAATTACAAGGAATCATTCAATATAGGAGAAAGAAACCTATTATTAGTTTTTTGGGGTTTTTTTTGGTACTGGGGATTGAACTCAGGACCTGGTGTTAGAGAGGCAGGCGCGGTACCACTGAGCTAAAGCCCGAGCTCCCCTATTACTAGTTTTTAAAAATCTTGTTTTCTATCCACTCTATTCCAACACAGTATCTTGTCAAAGAGGAGAAAAAACTGGTGTTTGGAAGAGAAAATTCAAAGCAAGGTGCCACTTTAATCTAGAGAGCAAAACATTCATTCTCTTACCTGAGCATCCCATATGCAAGAGTTGATCTAAGAGTTGTTGGTCCAAAATGTGTAATATTTCTGCGGTGGAGACTCTCCTCAGTCAATGCAATACCCACAACCATTTCATTATCATGGATATTCAAGAGAACCTATGATAAACAAAACAGAAGAAAAAATCTTCAGGATTTTTCACACTGCATTTATTACTAAGATTTTTATTTGAGGCTTTATAAAGCTTTTTTTGGTTGAGGTATACTTTGCATGTAGGTACAGAAATCTTAAGTGTGTGTAAGTTCTTTCTTACATGTAAAACTACATAACCACTACCCAGACAGTGATATAGAATACTGCCAGCATCCTGAGGCTGCCTTGTCTCTTTCCTGCTCAATATTCACCAAAGGCTGATCATTAACCTGACTGCTGCCACTATAAACTAGTCATGTCATTTTTAAAACTTTACATAAATATGGGCCGGGGATTTAGCTCAGTGGTTTCGCCGCCTGCTGCGCAAGCGCAAGGACCCGAGTTTGATCCCCGGTACCAAAAACAAAACAAAACAAAACAAAAAAACAATAAAATTTACATAAACAAAATGGTATATACTATTTTTTTGCTTAAAGTCTAACAACCTGATTTTCCCAAGTTTTATAATGCAAGCATTATTTTTTTAAACATTTATTGGTACACTTAGGGGTTTTTTTTTTTGGTACCAGGGATCGAACTCAGGACCTTGCACTTGTCAGGCTGGTGTGGTGCCACTGAGCTACCTCCCCAGCCGTACTGGTACATTTTAGATATACATGATATATCTCATCATCATAACACTCATCATAGGGAATTTGCACACGTACAGGATATATCCTACCTCTTTTTTTCCCATTTACTCTCCCCTCAAGCCCTCCTTCCCTTCCTATAAGCAAAAGTTTTGTTTCCTTCTATTTTTACTTTTTTTTTTTCTTGTCCTTTCATTCTTTTCTTCCTCCCCCACCCTTGTTCTCCTTTCCATTTGAACATTGTCTTACCATTTCCCAATATCTATTATACATTTAAAAAATTTTACATTTTAGTCTTTATTTCCACTTTCAGTTTCTCATACCAGAGAAACAATGTGGTATTTAAACACGTGTGTCTGATTTATTTCATCTAAGAGTATGGTCTCAAGGTGTACCCATTTAGCTATAAATATCTTAAACTCATCCTTTACAGCGGAGTAGTACTCCATGTGTTAAAAAAACCCCACATTGTCTTTATCCATTTCTTGGTTAATAGGCATTTGAGCTGTTTCCAAGATTTAGCTATTATAAACTGTGTTGCTATAAACATGGGTGTGCATACATTGCTGTGATAAGATGCTTTTAATTCTTTTTTTTTGGTACGGGGGATTGAACTTGGGTCCTTGCGCTTGTGCAGCAGGCAGCGAAACCACTGAGCTAAATCCCCGGCCCTGCTTTTAATTCTTTCAGGGAGATGCCAAGAAGGGAAATAGCTGGGTCAAAAGGAACCTCTAATTTTAGTTTTTTGAGAAATCACAGTGATTTCCCCAGTGGTTGCACCAGTCTACACTCCCACCAATAATGGAGAAGGGTTCCTTTTTCCCCCACAGCCTCTCCAGCACGTTATTGGTTGATTTCTTGATAAGAGCCATTCTTTCTGGAGTGAGACTGAATCTCAGGTTAATTTGCATCTCTTGCATGACCAGTGATGTTGAACATTTTTTCATATACTCATTTGCCATTTGTACTTCACCTGAGAAGCGTCTATTCATTTCAGATGCCCATTTTTGGATTGGGCCTTTAAATTTGGGAGGTCTAATTTTTTTGATTTCATACTTTTTTTTCCTGTATATATTTTAGATAGTAGTCCTTTGTCTGAGGACACACTGTGGATTGTCTCTTGACTCTGTTGGTGGTTTTTCTTGCTGTGCAAAAGCTTATTTATTTATTGGTACAGGGGATCAAACTTAGGACCTTGCACTAGCGAGATAGGTGAGGCGCCACTGAGCTAAATCCCCAGCCTGCAAGAGCTTTTTAATAAGATGAGATCCCATGAACTTCCTCTGCATTCCGGGTTTTGTTCATAAAAGACTTTGCCTATAGCAATGTCTTTGAAAGTTCTACCTATTCTATCTTTCAGCAGATTAAGTAGTCTTGTTTTAATATTTAGATCTTTGATCCATTTTGATTTTAGTTTCATGCATGGTTAGAGATATGGGTCTAGGTTCAATCTTTGGCATGTGGAAAGCCAGCTTTCCCAACACCACTTATTATCTTTCTTCCAATGAAGGTGTTCAGCCCCTTTATCAAGGGTAAGTTAGCATAATGTGCCTGGAGTTGTCTCCATCTTCTGTTCTGTTCCATTGAATCTGTTTTTTTTGGTCAGTCCCAAGCTCTTTTTATCACAGTAGCTTTGCATTATAATTTCACATTAGGAACTGTGATGTCCCCTGCCTTGCCCTTATTTCCAAGAACTGCTTTTGGTTTTCTAGGTTTCTTCGGGTTCCAAATGAAATTTAGGATTGTTTTCTGTAGTTCTGTGAGATATGCTGTTGGTAATTGGATCAGGATTGCATTAAATCTGTATAACAGTTTTGGAAGCATGGTCATTTTCAGTATATTGGTTCTGCCTATCCAAGAACAAGGCATATCTTTCCATTTTCTCATATCTTCTTCGATCTCCTTTTTCAGAGTACTGTAGTTTTTTTTTTTTGTAGTTTTCAATGTATAGGTCTTTTACTTCGTTAGATTGATTCCTAGGTATTTCAGTTTTCTTGATGCTATTGTGAAAGGTGTTGTTTCTCTAATTTCTCTCTCACTGAGTCCGTTATTCATATACAGGAAGGCTACTGTCTTTTGAGTGTTGACTCTGTATCCTGCTATGCTGCTGAATTTCCTTATTAAATATCGAAGTCTTTTGATGGAGCTTCTGGGGTCTTCTATGTAGAGCATCATGTCATCTGCAAATGAGTTGAACTTCTTCCTTTCCTATCCTTATTCCTTTTCTTTCTTTCTCTTATCTAATTGCTCTGGCTAATGTTTCCAGAACTATATTGAGAGTGGTGACGGTGGACATACTTGTCTTGTTCCTGATTTTAGAGTGAAAGTTTTCAGTTTTGGTCCATGTAGCATGTTGGCTGGCTTTTCATAGATGGCTTTCATCAGATTTGAGATAAAGACCATCTATTCCAGTTTTTTGTAGGGTTTTTATCATGAACGGGTGTTGGACTTTGTCAAACGCTTTTTATGCATATGTCGAGAGGATCATATGGTTTTTGTCCTTGGCTCTGTGAATATATAGTGTATTACATTTATTGATTTGCATATGATGAACCATCCCTGCATCCCTGGGATGAATCCTACTTGGTCATGGTGTGTAAACTTCTTGATGATTTGCTGCATTGTTTGCCAGTATCTTATGGAGGATTTTTGCATCTATGTTCATTAGGAAGACTGGGCTATAGTTCTCTTTTCTTTGGTTGGATCCTTTTTTGCTCTTGGTATCAGGGTAATGCTTGCTTGAAAGAATTAATTTGGGAGTATGGCTTCCCTTTCCATTTCTTTAAAGAGTTTTAGAAGCAGCAGCTTTAAATTTCTTGTAGAATTCAGCAGTGAATCTGTCAGGGCCTAGGCTTTTGTTGGTAGGGTTTTTTTTACATCTTCAATTTCACTGGCTGATATTGGTTTAGAATTTTTATATCTGCATGATTCAATTTTGGTAATTCACGTGTATCTAGGAATCTGTCCATTTCTTCTGTTTTCCATCTTATTAGAATACAGGATCTAGCCGGGGATGTAGCTCAGCAGCACCATGCATTCTTGGCCAGTGGAAGCCCTGAGTTCAATTCCCAGTACTGACAAAAAAAAATACAGGATCTAGAAGTAGGTATTGATAATCTTCTGGATTTCTGCTGGATCTGCTGTGATTTCACCCTTTTTATCCCTAACTGCAGGAATTTGAGTCTTTCCTTTTTTGATAAGGTTGGCTAAGGGTTTGTCAATTTTATTTAATCTTTTGAAGAACCAACTCTTCCATTCATTGATTATTTGTATTTTTTTTAGTCTCCATTGCTATAAAGCAAGCATTACTTGAAGGTTTAGTTTTTTTTTTGTACCAGGAATCGAACTCGGGTCCTTGCACTTGCACAGCAGGCAGTGAAACCACTGAGCCTGAAGGTTTAGTTTTTTAGAAAACATTTTAAACAACAGAAGTGCTACAAGACCACTGGCACACTGAATTCCTAATTACACGCTTCAACCAGATTAACCATTAGCACTGTACCACATCTGCTTTATCATCTATTGTTTTCATACTTTAGTGTTTTTTTAAACTAGACTCACTTGAATCATGTCTATGATATAATGGCTTTTTTGATCAAATTATAGTTTATCTAAATAAAAATAAAATGTTCCCTAATCTTCCACCTAAAGTTTCTTCATCATGATCTTACCAATAGTAGCAGTAGCTGTGACACTCCTACATGCAAGGGACTGTTCTACACACTATACTCACGACCTCATTTTCTAGTCATCAGCTCTAAGGTAGATGGCATGGTTCCCTGTGTATAAGGAAACTCAGGCACAAAGACAACTCACTTGCCCAGTCCTACAGCATCTAAATTGAGATTTAAATGCAGGTAGCATAGCTCAAGAATCTGCCTTCTAAGCCATCTTGCTAACTTTTAGCCATAGCTTTTCTAGTTAGTGGCTATTCATTTTTATGACAGCTGTATGAGGTAAAAAGAAGTGGGGAATTGTTCTCCTGATCTGACATGCCAAGAAAAAAAAAAGTTACAAAGAGACAGAGTGACTTGCTCCAAATTCAAGTGTCCTAAAAGCAAGAGAAATTAACTTTTTGGTAACTATGTCAGCTGCTAGACGCCCTTAAAATTATCAGGTTTAATGACTCCAGTTACTATTGCCCATAGGTCAGTGTGGTCAGTCACTAGGATTCTAAGCATGCTGAATGTATTTTGGTGTGGGAATTAGGATAAGTATTAGCACGGATGACTGTTTTGAGGCTGAGGTTTTAAAAGTGCAGTTTACTTTTTCTAGTACCCAAACTATAAACAAGACAAACTGTTTTAATTCTAGTTGAATTTTATAATCTGAAAGTATACATAATATAGAAGTACTAGCTTATAAATTAGAAAACTTGTGCCTTAGCAGCTCCCATCTATAAGCACTCAGCACATGCCACGATCTTGCAACAAATACGTACTTTAAATGTATTATCCTTCTGGGTGTGGTGGCACATGTCTTTAAATCCACTTTAAAGCTCAGCTCAGGGGCTGGGGATTCAGCTCAGTGGTTTCGGCACCTGCCTCGCAAGCGCAAGGACCTGAGTTTGATCCCCGGTACCAAAAAACAAACAAACAAACAAAAAACTTCAGCTCGGGTAACTTGTCAGCTTTGCAAAACTGTCTCAAAAATTTTTTTGTTGTTGTTTTTGGTACCAGGGATCAAACTCAGGTCCTTGCATTTGTGCAGCAGGTGGCAAAACCACTGAGCTAAATCCTCGGCCCTTCTCAAAATTTTTTTAAAAAGGGCTGAGGATGTAGCTCAGTGAGAAGGTCCTGGAAGCAATCCCCTGCCCTGGCCAAAAAAGTGTTCTCATTTAACCCTCAGTACAACCTTAAAGGTATGCATTATTACTGGTTCCACTTGAAAGAAAGAGACTAAGACAATCTTGTCCAGTTACACATTTGTGGAGCCAAAACTGGATCCAGATCTATCAGTTTCTACACCCAGTGTTCTTAATCAGATGGTAGTAGCCCTATTGTCCCTGATACTCAGTTACTGTAGTGTGAAAATTCTCCATATCTTATGACAGCGTTCTGAACCATCAGTCAGAGCTTGTACTTACCTCTACATCAAAGTTGGTCATGTCAGCCTTCCACTTGAAATGATCCTGAACAGCACCCCCAAAGTCTCTTGCAGCCTCATTTGAGGTAAAGCAATGTTTCTCTCCTGCCCTGTTGCATGTGACTCTAAACTTTAGCACCTGAGGCTCAGTTTCTTCTTTTGAATGTTCATCAGTTTCATCTTTGGAAGATGCCAGGTCATCACCTACTAATGTTGATATCTCCTCTTTGATGGCTGGATTTTCATAATAGTCTAAGATATGTGAATCTAGAGCATTGTCAGTAAACCCTCTAATATCTTTCTCATCCAATTTATCTCGTCTGTTACCAATTCTCTCTTTATTTGAATTCTGACTCATCTTTTTGCACTTTGTTTTTTTCTTCTTGAAACAGGTGTTAACTTCCCATACTTTTAAAGGATCTGACCATGGGAGTTTTCCGGCCAAGTCTTCAAAATCTTTCAGAGCTTCTTCCTATAAAAGACAGAGAATGAAACCCATTCATTTCTCACTACTTTATTTTTTTGGTTTTTTTCAGACAGTCTGGCCTCCAACTTGCAGTGATCCTCCTGCCTTCGGCCACCTGTGTGCTGGGATTACAGCTGTGAGCCACCACTGTCCAGTTCATTTCTCACTACTAAACAAATAAACCTCAACTTTGCTTACAGATTACACTAGTCATTTTGTTGAAGATGGGATGGGGGGGCACAAGACAAAATAAAAGAAAAATCTGCCTTTAGTTAAGGAAATTAAAATTTCAATGATAAATTAGGATACATACACATTAAACCAGTAAAGAATAATGCAAGAACTGGGCATGGTGGTGCCCGCCTATAATCCCAGCATTGCGGAGGGTGAGGCAGGATTGCTGCGAGTTCAAAGCCAGACTGAACTACATAGCAAGACCCTGTCTCCAAAAACAAAAATTTTTAAACTTTAGTAAGAAATTACATGATATAATCCACATCCTCAATGAAGTAAAGTTTAATAGTCATAAAAAAGTAGTTAAAAAGTAGTAAGAAACTATTACAGAATTTCTTTTCCTCCTTTTTTTTTTTCCCCAGTACTGACAAACCCAGGGCCTCTGACCGCACTGAGCTACATCCCCAGCCTTTTTTTCTATTTTGAGAGAGGGTCATGCTAAATTGCTTGGGCTGGGCTTGAACTTCTGATCGTCCTGCCTTGGCATCCCAGAGTGCTGTGATTATAAAGCATAAACCACCACACCTGGCTTAAATTAAAATTTAAACTATGAGAAGCTATGTCCAAGGGGACGTAGGTAAATAAAAGACAAGGAAGAGGAAGGAGGACAACTTAACCTCTCACTGACTTAGTGTGTGTGAAAATTGTGTTCAACTTCCATTTCTCCCCCTACTGTTGCTTGATACAAAGGAGGAATACTATGTTGTGTTACATATTAATTTAAAAAGAAAACATTTTTAAAGGAAAAAAATCTTCAGCAGTTAAAAAATATACCTATTGATTCTTTTAGTCACCTTTTACAAAAGTAAATCCTGTGATGGCCCTTTCTTAATAAAAGCCGTTGAACAGCTCCCCAAAGCACCACAGTCTCTTCTCTTATGTACTTCATGGCCATTTTTTCCATTCTCCCTTTATGTGTTTGGAAGGTACTTGCTTCACATTTGCACTGCATACCTCTTCCTCATTATTTAACAGAACATCCTCTGAGAAACTTTCTTTATTGAACATCCTTCCAAGTATTCTCTTCCTATTTGATTTTCTTTGTAGTGCTTAACACTATCCAAGGTTACTAAGTTTATGTATGGGTCACCATCAAGGCTCTTCCCAGAATGTAAGTGCATAGTGGAAAAGACCTTATCTGCCTTGACCTCTGCTATCAGCCACAGACCTAGAACAATACTGGCATATAAAAAGTGGTCAATAAAAAAGTGCTAGAAAACATGTGATTAAACATTAAAATGTGAAGTACAGAACATTGCTGTCCAATACAGCAGCCGTTACACGTAGTTATTAAAATTTAAATGATTTAAATTACAGAAAATTACACACTCGGTTCCTCAGTCACTTTAGCCACATTTCACCCACAACTATCCTGTGGTTAGCATGCTAGATGTGTACACATAGGACACTTCCATCAAAGTTCTATTACATAGCACTAGTACTGATTGGGTGTTACTAAAGACCAAAGCAGAAAGAAATCAGTGCTGACTGATGCATCTGAGACTTGGCAATGTAAGTGGAGGCTTTGCTACTACTGAATCTTGCTGAAATAGCATCAAACTTCAGGGTTAGCAAATTCAATTCAATTTACAAATAAACTTTCCTATAAAGGGCCTATAGAGAGGTGGTTGGTGGAAATGCTGGGACAACACTGGCACAGCCTTTCTTTCTTCAGAAACTGTTTTAAAAGAAAAAAAATACAACAGAAATAACAACTCTTGACTTACAGAGTATTTGCAACCTGGAACTACAATATAAGGATTCTCAAATGTAGTGAAAGTCAAACAAGTGCAGGATGAAACAGAAAGGGAGAAGGCCTGCATATCTGAGACAAAGGATAAAGAACCATCTACAAAGCAGGTAGCAAATAAACTTTACTTGGAACACCAGAGAAGTGGTGAAGAAAGTGTCCCTGGACTTCCTTTGTATTGAGCAACAGTAGGGGAGAGAAATGAAAGTTGATCAAGAATTTCACAAATATGCCATATTTGCTGGAAGTAGTGTATTGTGGAGGTAGGGTTAGGAAATACATAGTTATCCCTTAGGATCCCCTGGAAATTGGTTCCAGGAGATACAAAATTGATAGCAATTGGAGATACCAACTGAACCCCGCAGATACCAATATCTGCAGATGCTTTAGTTTCTTATAGAAAAGATGTAGTATTTGCATAAAATCCACACACATCCTCCTGTATACTTTAAATCAGCCCTATATTACTTCTAATACCTAATATAATACAAATACTAATTATGACATATTGTTTGGGGAAATGACAATAAAAATGCCTGGATAGATTAATAAAGACTTTCAAAAATTTTTAATCTACAGCTGGTTGAACCCAACTGAATATGGAGGACAACTGTGCTCTGCTTTGTGAATAACACTGAAGCTGCTGATCCCTTTAACTTAGGGAGAAGGAAAGGTTAAAAGAACTCGTTCAATAGAATGGGAATTATACCTCAATAAAGCTATGAAAAAAGAGGGGAGGGGAGGGAAAGGAAGGGAGAAGAGAACTCAGTACTCACTCGTGTCAGCCAGGGAGATTTCTGGCTGGCCTGGTGCCCACCTGTGGCTTCTCTACCACAAGAACTTTTTAAACAAAGCAGTGCTAAGAGGAACTCCCTCGTTAAAAGATGAGCAATTATCAAGTTATTGGCACAGAACTTACATGAAAGCAGTAACAGGAAAAAAAGACAAATGAACACGGAACAAAAGCCAAAAAGCAGTGACCAGAAAACTTGCCAAAGAGCAGTGAAAAACTAATTAAACATAATGACATCAAAAACATGAAGAGGAGCCAGGTGTGGTGGGGCACGCCTGTAATCCCAGCACTTGGGAGGGTGAAGCAGGACAAATGCAGGGAGTTTGAGGTCAGCCTGGACTACCTATTGAGTTCAAAATCAGCTTGAACTACATAGCGAGAGAGTCTCAAAAAACAAAACAAAACAACCCCCAAAATAAATGAAGAGGAAACACATTTGTAAATATGAGCTCAAGGAGAGATATAAAAACAGAAAGCTTGAACGGGGATGTAGCTCAGTGGAGCCAGCGCCTGCCTGGCAAAAACAGAAAATTAGGTGAGTCACCAGAAAGATGGAATGAGAACTTGTACAGTTCAAAGAAAATATGGAATAAAAAAATTAAACCAATGGAGACCACAGTGAAAACAGCACATATAAGACACTACTGAAAGCACAGTAAAGAATGTGGAGAAAAGCAAAGCAAAATAATAATAAGCAAAAAATGGTAAAAAGGATCAGACAAATAATAAATATGAAAAAATATTCAAGCTGTGCATGGCAACACACATCTGTAATCCCCCTACTCTTGGGAGGCTGAGACAGAGGATCAAAAGTTCAAGTCTAGCCTGGGCAAGTTAGCAACTTAGCGAAGCACTGTATCAAAACAGAAATAAAAAATAAAAAAAAGGTCAGGATGTAGCTCAGCGAGAAGGCTCTAGGTTCAATCCCCAGTGTCTGTCTCTCTGTCTCTCTCTCTGTATCTCTCTCACACACACACACACACACACACACACACACACACGTACATAAAAGGTCAAAAGAGATCCCACATGTGTATAACCAGTTTCCCTAAAGGGAACTAAAATAATTTTTAAAATTCTTTTTCAAATAATCAAGAAAATTTTCCAGAAATATAAGTGCACTGCTGTGTTCTGTAAAAGAATTATCAACAATGAAACAAAGTTTAGCAAGCTGATTAGATTTCAGAGATTAAAAAAAATCATTTGCTCATCAAGCAAAAATATAAAGAAAGCAACAAAATGGGGAAAGAATATCAGGATGAACTCATAGTGTTCCATGACAACATCTAATGATAGAAAAGAATGAACACTGACTACAACATTCTTGAAGAAGGGAAGCAATTCCAAATTTTATATCAAACCTATTAACCAAATGCAAAAGGGAAAGGCAAACATACCCAACTCATGCCCTTAAGAGATAAAAAGAAAACTAAAACAAGTCATAAAAAACTTGATAGTCAACAGAATGAAGGCTAGGGGCAAATGTTTAAAAATGAGGTTTTTGGGGCTGGGGATTTAGCTCAGTGGTTCTGCCACCTGCCTTGCAAGCGGAAGGATCCGAGTTTGATCCCCGGTACCAAAAAAATAAATAAATACAAAAAAAAATAAAAATGGGTTTTTTTAAACCTAGGGCATGCTGCAATTTAAATTCACAAAATAATGAGATTAATAATTTTTCACCGGGTGTGGTGATGCACGCCTATAATCCCAGCACTCGGGAGGCTGAGGCAGGAGGATTGCGAGAGTTCGAGGTCAGCCTGGGCTCCATAGTGACTTCAGGGCCAGCCTGAACTACAAAGAGGGACCCTGCCTCAAAAAAACCCCCATAAAAACCAAAAAGCAAAACAAAAGAACAAACAATTTTTCATAGTCAGGCACAAAAGTTTCCTTTTCACAAATCTGAAAATTATTGTAAGTTTAGCAGTTCTTCTGGGACTTCAGCCAAGAAGCTTTTCTGTAGTTACTTATAAGGAAACTCTGAAAAGCTAGCTCAAGTAGAATCATTCCATAAATGAATTTACCTCTAGAGAGCCAAATGGCCCAGGATACAAATTTTAGGAGGGCAAAAATGCAAGAATTTAAGGATATATTAATAAATGACTGTAAGTTAAAGAATTTAAATTGGCAAGTTTTCTTTTAAATACTTGTTAATATTTATTCATGCACAGAATTGATTGTCAAAATTTCAAATTGTTTAGCAGCAAAAACAGATTGCCTGTTATTTATTAGTTTCATAGGTTTAATTCAGTTGCCAATGACTATTCTCAGAAGGGTTATACTAGTGTTGAAAGTTAAAATTAAAAAAAAAAAAAAAAAGAAAAGAAAGTTAAAATTACAGGGCCAGGGGAATTTATAGCTCAGTAGTGCCAAGCCTGCCTCCCAAGCATAAGGTCCTGAGTTCTATCCCTGGTACTGAAGGAAAAAAAGAAACAATTACAGCTAATAAAATTTTTATTTATTTTCAGTAATGAGTCTTTTCCAGTCTGCTCTTATTTTTCCTAGGCTGTGGGTTTATCTGATTATATTTGTTTTATTTGGTGGTACTGAGAACTAAACCCAAGGCCTTGGGCATGCTAACAAAGCACTACCACTGAGCTACATACTACTCCTTTACTATTTTATTTTGCAACAGGGTCTCACTAAGTTGTCCAGGCTAGCCCAGAGAGCTGGTATTAGGTCTGGGCCACCATGCCCTGAAGTTTGACTAGTTTTTGAGTAATGTTTTGGGTATCAACCTGTTGGAAATAAAGACTAGAGAATTAGGCAGTATACCATAGTTGTTTTAAAAAGATTTCTAATATAGGCAGTAATGATGGTAGAAAAGTTTTCATGCATTTGACTCTGGAAACCTGACCAAAAAGAAATATGGAAAAAAACCTAAAGCTTTATTGCAATCTATTTTCAGCCTTCAGCTTGAGGAGCAGCTGAATATTTAGGACTCAAATGTTAAAAACACATTGGAGGGCCGGGGATTTAGCTCAGTGGTTTGGCCACCTCCTGTGCAAGTGCAAGGACCTGAGTTCAATCCCCAGTACCAAAAAAAGAACCACATTAGAGAGAAAGCTGTTGTCCTAACAACTGAAGGTATTTAAATATTACTTTAGCTTGATATTAAAAATGAAGTTAGAAAAGTAGGGTCAAAGCAGAATAAAATGGTAAGGAAGTGTTACTTGTAAATGACACAAACTGTCACTTATTTAGTTCACATTCTAGAAACAACTCTCTTTTGGAAATATATATATATATATATATATATATATATATATATACACACACATACATATTTTTTTAAAAAAAAAAGCAGGAAAATTTATTGGGGAATAGCAATGAGGAATAAGAATGGGGAATAGGAATAGCTCCTGAGAGACTGGAGAGGTCCCCAATGGGTTTCCCATATATCTATATATTAGCAAAACTAATCTAATGTTTACATCCTTTTTTTTTTTTTTTTTGGTACCGGGGATTGGACTCTGAACCTTGCGCTTGCGAGGTAGGTGGAGGCACTAATGTTTACATCTTTTGTAAGCAAGGTCAAACTATTTTTTTCTTAGGGCCAGGGATTTAGCTTAGTGGTTCCAGTGCCTGCCTCGAAAGCACAAGGTCCCAAGTTCAATCCCTGGTACCAAAAAACCAAAAAAACAAAAAAAAAAAGAAATCATTTGGGCTGGGGATTTAGCCCAGTGGTTCCGTTGCCTGTCTCACAAGCGCAAGGACCTGAGTTCGATCCCTGTACCAAAAAAAAAAACAAAACTATTTTTTTCTTATAAACTTCAATATTTTCCAGTATTTATTTTTATTTTTATTTATTTATTTTTTTTAAGACAGGGCTTGCTGCTATGTAATTCAGGCTGGCCTTGAACTCACTCACTGTGTAGCCAGGCTGGCCTCACAGCAATCCTGTCTCAGCTTCCCAAGCCCTGGGATTATAGGTGTGTGCCATCACGCCCAGCTCTTTCCAATACTTTTTTTTTTTGGTACTGGGGATCGAACTCCTGACCTTGCGCTTGTGAGGCAGGCAGCGGAACCACTGAGCTAAATCCCTGGCCCTCCAATACTGATTTTAAAAAGCAACTTTTGGGATGGACTGTCAGCAAATCCCTGATTTTACTACAAAAGCTTGTCAGAATTTATGATGCAAGTAGGAGTATAGCTCATGCTAAGCATGAGCTTAGCATATGTAAGGCTCTGGGACTGAATCCCAGCAATGCTGCAATAGTAACACAACATGACAGGCAGATTGTGAGAAGTAGAAATAACTTCTCTGGGGAAGATGGCTAAAAATCAGCTATCATGTTTGAGTTAGCTCACCTTAGTTTTTTTGAACTGGAAATCTTTAAACTCCTCAACAACCACAAATAAGTTATCAACTGATCTCAGACAATGAACCTGGAAAGAAAGAAAAATGTTAGAAACAGATTTCTGAAAAAACTTCTGAATAACACAAACTATCAATAACTAAATATTTTAAAATTTATGTACAATAGTTTAAAAGCATCTATTGCCTGTATTTCATATTTTTAAATTTCCCATCTCCTTAGTCTCTCATCTTTTTGGTTACCCATCAGGTGCCCTTCTCTAGAGAAAGATGAGGACACGCTGAAGGTTGAAGCATTATATGGGCAACATGGGTATGAGGAAGAAGGGGAAAATGAAGACAATAAGTGAGTCTTTATTGTATTTTTCTCATGGCTCTCTATGGTACACTGTATATCACTAAGAGCTAAGTTTGAGCTCCTGCTTGTGATCACTAGCTGAGTGATTGTAGACAAATCACTTATTCTTCTTGACCTTAATCATTAATGAGGACAATAACAGTGTCTATATTCATAAAGCTTCTTAGGGTATTAACTAAAATATTAGATGCCAATTAACTATTTACCATTTCATCCCACAAATATTTCCTAGATGCCTACTATATGCCAGAAACTAAAAGCTTTGAATATACTGATGAAAAATAACCCACACACAAGCTGGGTGTGATGGTACATGCCTATGATCCCAGGACTCCAGAGGCTGAGGCAGGAGAATCACTCCAAGTTTGAGGTCAGCCTGGGTTACATAGTGAAGTTAAGACCATCCTGTATATAGTGAGACCCTGACTCAAAAAACCAACAGAAAAAACCGCGAAACAATCCATGCCCACATTTTCCTTATGTGGTAATCAGTTTTACCTTAGCTTTTGTTTTACTGGGATGGCAGTTTGCTAACCTTCACTTCTCACCTGCAATAATTCCTAATTACTTCTGAGCAAAATGTCTGACATGGGCCGGGGATTTAGATCAGTGGTTCCAGCACCTGCCTCGCAAGTGCAAGGTCCGGAGTTCAATCCCCGGTACCAAAAAATAAAAAAATAAAAAAAGAGCTGCTATGTAGATTTTATTAAAAAAAAAAAAATGTCTGACACAGTTGGAAGAAAAACCTATGCTTCTGTACTTCAACAAAATCTAGAGGCTGAAGTAAATAAAGAAGTGTAGAAGATACTCAGAATTTCTTCATAAGTCACACAGGGCTCTTTGGTGAATTCAAGCATCAGGAAATGCTACAATTACTAATACAGCAAACTAAGATAAACATATTTATAAAACACATAAATATAGAGAACATAGCATACTAAAAATACAGTCAAACTTTCAAATCAGTGGCCTGCAGAAAATGCAGTAATACTTTGAAATCACACGATTCAGGACAAAGATTCCAAGGTGCCTGTAAACTAGAAAGTAGGTGTACTATGACCAATTTAGAAAACTATTTTAAATAGTGCTTAATTCAAACCTGTGCCAGACTTTCCACTGAAATGTCAAAATATATCTTGCCCCGATCTTTGCTGATTTTGCATGATGACCCCAATTTCTCTCTGATTTCACCTGCAGCTGTTTGCTCAAAGCCGGTGGGGACAGTGGCCCCAACAGTGATGTGAAGATGCTCAGACACATTTCTGGTGCCACTTTCTTCTGTCACTGGTACAAATCTCTGGTTCTCATGAAGGTTCACATCCAGAAGTTTGTTAGTAGCTTCTTGAATGTCAGACATTTTGGCAATGTTTCCGAGATCCCTAATAAAGTCCCTTTAAAGGCAGTACACAAAAGGAAAAGAAAGTCCAGACATTATTGCCTCATATTTCAATTACGAAAAACATCTGTTTTGGAAGGCAGGGACAGGGTAACACAACCAATACAACCATATTTAAGTGAGAGTAGCAGTTTCAAGCCAATGATTAAACCTTGTTAATAAGATCTATTTTCCAGCTTGGTCTGGTGACACCTGTAATCCCAGCACTCTGGGAGGCTGAGGCAGGAGGATCATAAATTCAAGCCCAACCTGGGCAATTTAGTCACTTTAGGGAGAACTTGTCTCTAAAAAATAAAGAGGGCTTGGGATGTAGCTTCTTGCAAACGCTCTGGGTACAATTCCGTTTGAAAAGAAAACTCCATCTTCCTTTTATTAAGTATATTCATAAATTCTAAAAAAGATTAACTGAACACTATGTAATAATTACAAATATATGTAAGCCTATTACATGCCTGACTCTGGGATTTAAGAATTAGCATCAAGAGAGATCTCTGAAATAACTGAAATAGTAAACCAACCTTCCTGTATGGGGGCGTGGGGGACTGGGCTTAATAGCTGTCGGCAGATTTCCGAAGGTTTGTGACTCAAAAGTGGGCACAGAGTGGCTACACCATCCTTGTGCTGTGGCAAGGTCTGGCGACAGTGTTTAACATTACTAAGTCAGTTCCTGCACTTAACACGCTACTACTCTAAAGGTGACTTCCGCCTTCTAAAGGAGGCAGCTCAAGGACATATCCCGCCCCAGGTCACACAGCTAATCAGTGTCACAGACCGGAACAGAACCCACCTCTTCCTACTTTCACCCGGCAGGATCCGCGGTCAAAAGAATCTTGGGGAGCGGGGAAGGCCAGAGAGAGGCAGCGAGACGGCTCCGCGGTGGAGCCAGACTGAGGTTCGACCCCCGGGCAGGACGAAGGCAGGCCTTTCCTCCCACTGCCTGGTTACCGCCGCCACGACAGACCCTTCGGGCTCCAGCACCCTGTGGTTACCCGAGTTGTCGGACCACGCCGCCGGAAGCCGCTCGCCATCTCCGGAAGCGGAAGTAAGGCGGCAGCTACGTGGTAGGGGCCGCGCAAGGACCAGGTTGTGAGCAAGAGTGTGCGCAGAAGGCTGCGTGCGGCAGGGCGTGCTGGGTTGTTCTGCGCCCTGAGCCGGAACGCAGGCACTGTCGCCCGTTTTGGCAATGAATAACATTTGTGGAGTGGTTAGTGATGCCCGGCGCTGGGTAAGCATTTCATATGCGTCATCTCATTTATTACAACAATTATGAAGTGGTGTGGGCCGATTCCCGTTTTTAAAGCCAGAGAAACTGAGTCTCAAAGAGAATAAATATCAATTTCCATCCAGAATTTTATGCTCAGCTATTTATGAGTAGGGCTGAAACTTAAACCTAGATGGTGTAACTTTTAGTTCCGTAGTCAGTGTTGCTCAAACTAGGCAAAGGTAGCTCAAAGTAGTTTCTGATCTCTGTATTGCTATGTATGAACTATTTCTGTACTATTTTTACTTTTTATTTACTTTATTTTTTTTATGGTTTATTTTATATTTTTTATGGTTTTAAAAAAGTTAGCCCTAAAAGTAAAGTTTTGCAGTTTAACAACAAAACAATCTAATTTTAAAAAGGACAGAGGACTTGAATTGGGTGTTCCTTCAGAGACACACAAGTAGCCAAGAGGACATGAATAAATACTGAACATCACTAGTCAGTAGTGAAATATAAATAAACACAATGAAAATGGCTAATTTTTTAAAGACAGCATTTTGCTGTGTAGTTCTTGGCCATGAACTTAATGTGTAGCCCATGCTGGCCTCCAACTCTCGGGATCCTCCTGGCCCAGGCTGTCTAGTGCTGAGATCACAGGCATGCGCCACCACAGTGTGGTGGCAAATTGCTAAAGTTAGAAAGCAAAAGTTGGACTTTTCCAATGGGGGATACAAAGGACTGCAGCCATTAACCTGCTGGCCACTGTGCTCTCACCCTTTGAATGAAAACCCTCTCTCACTCTCCAGAGCATACTTCTTTTCCTACCCTTAATAAACATAACACCTCACTACCTTTTGTGACTGTCTTGTCTAATTTGTTGTTCTGGACAAGAACCTGGAAAGAATCTCTAGATGTAGCCCATAGCAAGCCAGACCCTCATATGTAATAATTCTACAATAACATATAGAGATGGGAAATGGATGTTCAAGCAGAGACTTGGACACAAGTGTGCACAGCAGCATTATTCATATAGATGGAAGATGGAAACAACTCACATATCCAGGAACTGAGGAGTAGACAAACCGATGTAGGACTATATCCATGATGGAACATTAGCCCTAAAAAAGGATTGAAGTATGGGTGCATATTAGATGACCCTCAGAAATACGTTCAGTGACAGAAGCCAGACACAAAGACCATAGACACGATTCCATTTATATGAAATGTCCAGACTTCACAAATGTATGAGACAAAACTGATTATTGCTTAAGATTGGGACAATTAGGGAGTGGCAGCTCAAGGGCACGAGGTTTCTTTGGGGGATGATGACAGTGTTCTGAATTTAAATAGTAGTGATGGGTACATATTGTGATTATTCTAAGAAATAGTGAATAGTACACTTCAAAGTATTTTAAATGGTGAATTTTATCTTAATAAAGGAAAGAGAAAACTTTGGTCTTAAGGGAAATTTATCTGCAGTATCGTTTTCAGAGTGATGTTTCCCTCCTAGCATTGCTGGGAGATTTAAATGGGATTAATACATTGTCAGGCACATAATTAAAATAGATGGTACCCTTAAGAGTATGTACAGAGACTGGCGTGGTGGGGGTCATGCCTGTAACCCCAGCACTCGGGAGGCAGAGGCAGGAGGATCACCGAGAGTTGGAGGCCAGCCTGAACTACATAATGAGACCCTGTCTCAAAAACACAAACAAGGGCTGGGGATTTAGCTCAGTGGTTCCACCACCTGCCCTGCAAGCACAAGGACCCGAGTTCAATTCCTGGTACAAAAAACAATAAGTACAATGAATAAAAAAAGAATAAATACAGTGAGTGAGGCACGGTGGCATATGTCTGTAATCTCGGCACCCAGGAGGCTGAAACAGGAAGACTGTCGCAAGTTTGAGGCCAGCCTCTGTCTCAGAAAAACAAACGTGAAAAAGCTCTTAGTAGGCTGTAAATATAAAGACCATTGTCTATTTTTAAAAGATAAATTAGCAAGTATTAGAGATAAACTAGCACTAAATGAGACCTTGACGTAATGAGAGGGATTGAAACATTGCAAAGAAAACATTCTCGTGACCTGATTCAGTGTTATTTGTTTATTTATTTATTTATTTATTTATTTATTTATTTTTGGTACCAGGGATCAAACTTGGGTCCTTGCACTTGAGACAGGCAGCAGAACCACTGAGCTAAATCCCTGGCCCCTTGATTCAATGTTATTTAATTTGTATCTTTATCCTATCTAAAAATCATGTCCCATACAAAGGTGTCATGCTTGGGGAAATACTGATGTAAGGCATATCACCCACCAGTGATATCAAGTTAGGTCTATTTTTAAGCAACAGAGTTTACTGGACATCTGCTGTGCTAAAGTTTACAGGCCTTTTAAACACTGGGAATAAAGCAGTGAAAAGTCCTTAAGGATTTGACTTCTCATTCTAGACTCTAGAGCTTATATTCTAATGGAAATGACAGACAGTGCAGTAAATATGTATGTAACATTGCTGGGATAATAAATTTTATGGAGGAAAACTAAGCAAGGCTGGGGTGGAGGTGCATAGAAAGTTCTAGAGAGGGAGGACAATGCCAAGAGGTAGGAAAAGCCCTTCTTGGTAAGGCAACAAAGCAGAGCCTGAGGAAATAAGAGTGCAAATCATGATCTGGGAGAAGAGCCTTCCAGGCCAAGGGCAGCAACAGGCTTAGGAGAGTTTAGGCGTAGCCAAGAGGCCATGAGCCTGGTGAGGAGTGAGTGAGGGAGTCAGAAGTAGAAGATGAAATGGATTGAGTGCTTCAAGCCAGTGTTTTGCAAATTATCACCATGCATTACAATGAAAAAGTACTACTCTGAGCCAGGCATGTTGTGCATGCCTATAATTCCAGTGTGCATGCCTGTAACCTCCAGGAGTCAGGTGGATTGAAAGGTAGAGCCCAGCTTAGTGATTTATCAAGATCCTGCCTCAAAAAAATTTAAAAAAGGGAATGTAGCTCAGTGTGAAGGCCCTGGTTGAATCCCCAGTACCGCCATATATTACACATATATCACTCTGGCTACTACTGCCTGAAGAATGCCATGGTGCAGGGATTGAAGCAGTAACTAGGTTATTGTAATGGTACAAGTAAGAAATGATGGCTTAGACACTATAAGAATAGGTGTGGTGAGAATTATATTCTGGTGTCATTGCTGACAGATTAGACATGGATTTGAAAAGAAGATAAAGAACTGGAAACCTGACGGTCAAAACCTAGCAGATTTGCTTGTCTAGATTAGCCATATTCTGCTGATAGATGTGTGCTAAAGAACTTGGGCTAGAATCCCACAAAGGTAGTAAAAAGGGATATATTTCCTCCTTACAGTTCTGATTTATTGCAAAAATAAGAGTGTTTTAGTTTCTATCAGAAAGACCCTGATGAGGGGCCAGGGATTTAGCTCAGTGGTTCCGTTGACTGCCTCGCAAGCACAAGGCCCGGAGTTCGTTCGCCGGTACCCCCCAAAAAAGAAAGACTGATGATCTGCTCTGAAAATGTTGATTAAAAAGAATCCTTGCGTGGGTGTGGTGGTATAGCCTGTAATCCTAACTGCTCTGAGGCTGAGGCAGGAGGATTGAAAGTTTGAGCCTAACCTGGGCAACCCAGTGGGACTCTTTCTCAAAATAAAATTTTTAAAAGGCTGGGGAATGTAGCTCAGTGGCAGAGGGCTTGCCTAGCATACATGAGGCTCAGGATTCAATCCCCAGTACTGAAAAGAAAAAGTTCCTTGCACAGTACCCATCTGGGATAAGTTACATAAAATATATGTGTGGAAATTGAAGGCTTTCTTTGTAACTCATAGTGGTTATGCTGTAGCAAACTGAATCTGGGAAAGGAAGACACCCAGGGAGGCCTCTCACCTGTACTGTACTCTATCACTGAGCTACACTCCCAGCCCAGTCCATGCTTAAAGTAAAGTCATAGTTAAAAAGTCACATGGGGGTGCCGGGGATTTAGGTCAGTGGTTTCGCTGCTTGTCTCACAAGTGCAAGGACCCAAGTTCGATCCCCAGTACCAAAGCAAACAAACAAACAAAAGTCACATAGGGCCTGGAATGGACCACAGCAGCACAGTGCCTACCTGGCAAGCTTGAGGCCCTGAGTTGGATTCCTGGTACCAAAAAAAAAAAAAGTCACATAGTCCATCCACTCCCCTGCCAATCCCTCACCATTCCTCTTCTACAGAGACAAAGAATATTTATGCTTTGTGCTTTTAGTTCATTTGGTGATTACCTCCATGTCTCCAAATTATGTTCATTTGTTGATTTCTCAATTTTGGATATTTTCTAAAGACTCTATTATGGTATTTCAAGTTAAATGTACCAACTTTACACCATTCTATTTCCCCCTTCCTTCTACCATTATAGTTACAACTCAATACAGTATGTTCCTCTACATGAAATCTATCTTTGTAAGTTTAAGTGATCTGTTAAACATCTTGTTCTGTCAACTATAGATATCAAGGGTGCTTGATCCCCTGCACTGTAAGCTGAGGGTTTTATTAATGTTTCTGGCCTGTCCTCTACCTCTCCTTCCTTCTTTGTACCTCCCAATCCGTTTTACTAGAAGAGGATCCTGCTTGTCCTGCTTGATTCCCATGGGAATGTAATTGAAAGAAGGGATGCCCCTACACCTGCTTCTCTTCAATAAACTACTGAAATTCCTTCTCCCCCAAGAAAACTTTTTTGGGACCTCATTGGGAAATGAAATTTGTTTACAGTCCTATTAAGGAAATGATAGCCTAAACATCCATGAACGCTTAACCCAAAGGAACTTTGTCCTGTCAGGTGTTAACTAGAGGGGAAAACAACCAGCCAGTGCCCTTAACAAGCACTGGTTTGTTTACTTTTCCCATGCCCTTTCAGGCGAAAGGCTGTAAAACTGCTTTAGTAATATAAAACTAGTAGAGGTTGTGACAGATTTAGTGACATCGGAATGAATATTCAGGATCACCTGAGTGAAATTTATCAGTTCTCCTTAAATTTCATG